GCTCTTGCCCTTGCGGTGCACGACGTCATAGTCATTCCCACCGCAGCACGGGCGCGTGTACTTGTCGGAGATGAAGCCCATCACCTGCGCGACAATGAAGGCGAGCAAAGAGGGTACATTCGCGTACGCCCCAATGTCAGCGACCCTTGCGTGCTTCACCAGGCGCAAGAAGTCCTCGCGGGAATTGATGTCTGCCTTGCGGAGCTTCTCGAAGTACTCCTTGATGTCGGCATGCTGCGCCATGGCGCCGTTGGGCCTGGCGGGAGGCGGCGGGGCGCGGCGGGGTGTCTTAGCGATGAAGCGTTCAATGCGAAATGGCGCTGCTTTCGACCCAGGACGGCTGCGGAAACAATGGGGCGGGCGTCGGCATCGCCAGCAGCAAGCAGAATGGCGATGGCGATGATCGACAGAGCTCTGCATCGCCAGCAGCAAGCATACTGGCGATGGCGATGATCGACAGAGCTCTTCGCAATCAGCTCGGAGCGCTGCGGCATGGCGTTCGCTCGGGGATCCTTATTCCCCGACATGGCTCAAGCTCTGCATCGAGCAGGCATTCGTGATTTGAAACGTGCTGCAACAAACATACACTGGAACGGCGCCCCCAGCTCCTCGGGGGCACAATCAGCGACGGCGATGATGACGGCGGCGGCGACGAATACGACGACGGCAACGATGGCGGCGACGAGACTTCCTGCGGGGCGACGACGACGACGCAAATATTTTCTCATATCGCATATATTAAGAAGGCGCTGCAATGCCTATAGCAATCCGTCGTGGCGCCGCCCTGGCCCGCGGCGCCACATGTTTTCTCGTGTCGTATATTTGTATATCTATATTTATAAAGAAGAGGCTGTACTCCCCGCGCTCTGGCACTCTACCCGCCCAGCACGTCAGTCCGTCGTGCCGCCGCCCTGGCTCGCGGCGTCCGCTGCCGCCTGCTCGCGAGCCTCCTTCGCCTTCTGGTTGTCGATGTCGTCCTGCTCGTCGAGGTAGCGCGCGAGATCTTCCTCCGGCATGTCGTCGAAGCCCGCCGTGCCAGGGCGCTGGGGGGGTGGAGTAGTGAGGTCCATCTGTGCGCCATTGTCCTTCATGTTCTTGCTGAAGAAGTCCAGCTGGATCGTCTCGTGGATCGCCTTCTGCTCCTCGATGTCCAACTCGCTGAGGTCGCCGCCGCATCCTGTGGAAGCCTTGGGGCCCGTCGCCAGGCGCTTGCGGGGAGGCGAACTGAGGTCCATCAGCGCGCCGTTGTCCTTCATGTTCATCTCCCAGAACCCCTTCTGCGTGGACTCGTAGATCGCCTGCTGCTCGTCCTTGTCGACGTTGTCGAGCTCGCCCGCGAAACCCATGCCAGCGGCGGCAACTGCCCCTGCGGGGCCGCCCGAGGACGCCGCGCCGCTGCCAGCGGACGCAACGGCACCCATCAAGTGGCAGCCCCACTCGTCGAAGCCCCTCCTCGGCGAGGACGGCGCGGGCGCGGCGGGGAAGATGCTCGCGCCGCCGACTGTCGGAACGAGCGGCGCGTCATTGTTGTGTAGGAGGCGCTTCAGGTAGTCCATCGACCACTTGACGTCGTCCTCGAAGTTGGCGGGGTACACGGGCTTGGTCGGATGCTTCCTGTACTTGCCGAATGCCTCCTTGCATTTCTGGTTGAAGAGGTCGGGCTTTTTCGGGTTGGTGTAGGTCCACCAAGGCACGCTGCTCTCGTCCTCGCTCGCGGCTGAGGGCGGAGCGCTGCAGGTGGCGTGGGGTGGGCGCGGGCGCGCCGCGGGCAGTTTGAGCCTCGGGCGAAGTGCGGCGTGCCTGCTCGCGTTTGCTGCCTCCGCCTCCTCCTCCTCCTCCTCCTCCTCCTCCTTCATTTCCTCCTCCTCCTCCTCCTTGTTCCTGCTCCCCCTCCTCTCCTTCCTCCTCCTCCTCCTTCTCCTCTTCCTCCCAAACAGAATCTCCTCGCGGAGAAGAATCAAGCAAAACCATCGGAAAAAACAAAATTATCCCGGCAAAGCAACCTAACAACGATGTGTAGAAGCATAGCTGGGAATATTGCCTGTGGTATTCATGTAAGAGTGCTGTTGTAGAATTCTGGTGTTCTCGCAGTCGATTTCGGATTCGCAATGGCAGTCGCAGTGGCAGCATCAGCGGCATTAGCTTTCAATGCAGCAGGGTCAGGAGCACCGCCGCCAGACCGAGAACTATCAGCATGTCCTGGCATTAAGGTGTGCAGTAGGCGCTGCGCAGTTCCTTTGAAAGGAAATCTTCGAAAGCAGGGCTGTAGCCAAAAAGGCTGCGGGGACGATGATGATGATGATGATGAAGATGATGAGTCTTGGAAGTCTGGGAAGTGGACGAGCACGAAGTGGCGTAACGTTGGCTCCGGGCATTCAAAATGTGGCCCGGGAGTGGAGTTCTGGGAAATGGAAGAGCACGAAGTGGCCTACAGTTGGCTCCGGGCATTCAAAATGTGGCCCGGGAGTGGTGTTCTGGGAAGTTCAAGAGCACGAAGTGGCCTACAGTTGGCTCCGGGCATCCAAAATGTGGCCTCGGAGTGGAATTCTGGGAAGCCGACGAGCACGAAGTGGCCTACAGTGGCTCCGGGCATCCAAAATGTGGCCCGGGAGTGGAGTTCTGGGAAGTCGAAGAGCACGAAGTGGCCTACAGTTGGCTCCAGGCATTCAAAATGTGGCCCGGGAAGTGAGTTCTGGGAGGTCGAAGAGCGCTAAGTGTGTGACTGCTTGCTTAAAACGAGCCCGGCCCTCGCCTGTCCGGCTCCCGCCCAGACCCCCCTGGGGAGTCATCAGATGCTCTCTTTTGACCCCATTAGAAACCTCTCGCTCTTCGCTGTTAGGTAAAAAAGAAAAAAGCAAGTAAAGGAAGAGGATGAGGAGGATGTGGGAGAAGGATGAGGAGGAAGAGGAATGCGCGACGAACGAAAACACACAGAAGAGAGAGCGAGAGGGAGAGAGAGAGAGGGAGAGAAAGAAACGTGGAACCCTCGGAGGACCGAAAGCCCGCCGAATCATCCAGTCTGGAGCTGAAAAAGATCACGCTTAAAAACCACCAGGCCCCCTTTGCGCCTGAAGCCTATTAGCAGGAGGGGGGCAAGGAACATAAAACAAGTGGTATAACCAAACGGGCAGATCGGGTGGGCAGACCCGTAGCGGGCAGGTCGGGAAGGCGGGCCCAAGCGACGAGGTCGAGCAGGCGGGTTGCTGAAGAGTGGGTCCTGCATGGATCGCGAGGAAATCTCGAACGATAACGTGATTCCCAAGTAAATCGTGAGAAAAACCGCGTGGGCCACGAAGGGCATAAAATCCGAGGCCACAGAGGGCAGCGACGGGGCCGCAGAGGGCAGCACCGGGGCCACGAAGGGCAGCGAGGGGGCCACAAACAGCGGGACCACGAAGGGCATGCATATGGGGCCACGACGGGAGCGAGCGGGGGCCACGAAGGGCATTCGTATACGGGGCCACAAAGGGCGACAGCGGGGCCACTGAGGGCAGCAAAGGGGCCACGAAGGGCAGCGAGGGGGCCACGAAGGGCGACAGCGGGGCTACGAAGGGTATATAATGCAGGGCTACAAAGGGCAGCGACGGGGCCACTGAGGGCAGCAACGGGGCCACGAAGGGCAGCGAGCGAAGGCGACCGCGGAACCAGTACGGGCAGCGAGGGGCATCGAAGGAGGGCGAAGGGCAGCGACCGGCGACTGCAGTCATTAACGGGATTGTCGGGCGGGCAGGCCCCGACGGGCGGGTTGAGCGGGCGGGTCGATGAAACGTGAGTCCTGCTTGAACCACGAGGCAATATGTAGCGGGGGCGCGATTCCTGAGTGTCGAGGCCCGCATCTGGATAAATTGTGAAGAAATATCAAGCGAAGCGGTTCGGTGGTAAGTTGCGAAGAAGTTCCAGGCGAAAGCGCGGTTCTATCACACGATTCTATAATACATTGTCAGGAAGTTTCAGGCGGGAGCAGCGGTTCGGTGGTAAGTTACCAGGAAGTCCAAACGAGAGCGCGATTCTTCAGTAAACTGTGAGGAAGTCTGAGGCGGGAACCTTTGTCGTTGTAGGGAGCAGCAGCGCACTTTGACCCGGACTAAATTGTGAGGAAATCTCAAGCGGGAGCGCCGTTCCTGAGTGGATGGGGGGGAAATCTCAGACGGGAGGGGGGCCCTGAGTAAATTTGGAGGAAGTCTCATGCGGGAGCCGTTGTTGTTGTTATCCGGGGGGCCAGGGGCACAGTTTGACCACCAAGGCTTTCCCTGTCAAAAAACAAGATGCGAGCGTCGAGGGGCACACTTTGACTGAAAAACAATATGCACCGGCGAAGGGGGATCAACAATACTTATTCTTCAAAAATAAAAACTCGACAACCGCACCAACACCAGCACCAGCACCAACGCCAGCACCAGCGCCAGGACCAACACCAGCACCAGCACCAGCATCAGCACTTGCACCAACACCAGCACCATCACCACCAACAACAACACCAACAATACCATCAACACCATTCCAACAACGCCAACACCAACAGCACCAACAACACCAGCAACACCAACAACACCAACAACACCAACAACACCAGCAACACCACCAACAACAGCAACAGCAACAGCAACAGCAACAGCAACAGCAACAGCAACAGCATCAGCAACAGCAACAGCAGCAACAAGGCAACACCAGCTTTCTGGGCCCCATGCCCAGTGCCTCGCTCCCCCCTTCCCCCTGAGTATTCACCATCCCGTGTCAAAATGATTTAATTGTGGAGAGGGGCGCGGAGGCCGAACTGGATAATCCCCGGGGGAAGTTCCGAATCGAGGTTGCGATCATGCTGACTAGCAACAGCATTTTTCGGTTAAAAAAAAGCTGAGCATGGCAATTGTGGTCTCGCCATATCTGAGGGGGGAGGTCGGGTTCACTTTGCTCGGGAGCTGCCGAACGAAGTGGACCCCACCCTCCTCCTTAGAAATAATGTTTTTTTTTGAGGGGGGGGGGGTCGGTGTCTGGTTCGCATTTGGCCTCCTAGTGCCGCCACGAGGATCCTCCGCAAGCTCGGCGCCATTGGCCCTGGCGAGACCTGCCGTGCGAGGAGCAACGACATGTTCCAGGGCGGCGCCTGGTCCTGCGACCTGTGGACGGGTCGCTGGATCGAGCGCGCCCTGCGCGAGATTCGAGGCGAGGGCCGCCAAGCGCCCGTGAGCATCAACACGACGTGCGCCCGAGGCAACGAGTGGACCAACAAGCTCAAGGAGGCCACCGACAACGACTTGGCCAATGCCAAAGCAAAGGCCAAGAGCAAGGCCAAGGCCAAGCCCTTCAAGGACCCCACGGCGGTCGAGCCGAAAAACGCCACCCTCGAGGAGGAAAGCGCTGCCGCCCAGG